GTAAGATGCAAAATTTTCTATAGATCAGCGGAGTATAAGTGGGGGGAATCGTCTGGGGGAGGGTCAAAATGCATCGGTATATGAAAATTCACTCAAGAACGTACAGTTGGTATCATTGCAACCAGTCGAGTCGATTTTCAGGAGAATAGACTGTCCCCACCTTGCAGCGTTGCGGCATTGCCAGCTGTTGGTTATTCTCTCCCCAAATGGATAACTAGTTGACCACCAGCAGGGCAGCCGGACTCGGGCTCATCCCGACCTCCTCATACCATCTCTGGCTGGTTGCGATATTACAAATCATACATAAGTGATATAGTGGACTGGTGAAAATTAGTTCAAATAAAAACTACAGGGTAAAATGTGCGCAAGTCATGCTCACGATAAAAAGGGCGTGGCTGTCCGGAGCGGGGCTTGCCATGAGTATAGCGCCCTGCAAGGGATAGTTTGGGATGTTACGGTTATCACCTGCACTGATCCCAAATTTCAGTAGGATAGTAGAGACATTTGGTCGGACAGCTGCTAGTGGCGTTGGTCCTTCAGGCTCTCGAGAAGGAAACCTGCAGAAAGTCGGTCAATAGAGTCGATTTATCGAGCTCGCGCGTAGTTCAAGTGAAGCAGCTTAAACTGAAAACACTTATCCCACGCACTACGTGACCCATCGACCGTGCGAAATGGGCACGAAGGACCCTATACGGATGGTTTTTGGTTTATTAGCTGTGAGAAATGTTCGATCACCAGCGTCGCCGCACGATGCAGAGCGTAGGCTGGAAGTAGTAGGGCTACTCATGACCTCCTTCGCTTCCTACTCGACCATTCTTTCGTATTCATATTTGTGCAGTTTTACTTAAGTACTTGCTTTTGACCTTGATCGAAACCCTTGAAATGGTCATGTTCTTGCTTTAAATTCGTTTTCAATCACTCTTTGTTGCTGAACTAAGAAAAAAAACAGCTCTCTTTACACCTCACTCGCTCATTCTCGAGAAGAAGCCTCGATTTTCATCGAATTTGCCTAATTTTTTTGGAGCTAAACTTGGTCAGAATTATTCCGTGGTAATTAAGGTAGTTAGAGCCAATTTAGTGAACCAATTTCCTATTCCTCGCTTTGATTGTCTCTAACCATAAGCGCTCGAGGGGCTTCCGTTATTTGTAGGTTGTTTAGGTAGAGAGATCGTGATTGATGGCGGAATTCCCATCTGGCGGTCACTGTACTACAGTCGACACGACAATCATTGCCGCCGTACGCTTATCACTTGCCGATTAGGTTCTTTTCTTCAGTTATCTCTTGGCGTTTATTGGTTTTTCTCAGTCCAGTTTGGTCCAAAAAACCGTCAAAGATCAGTTCCTTCGGAACAAATATAAAATTGAAGAAATAAACTCTAGTAGAATTCACAGTGGTCTCGGGCAGTTTGATTCGTATTACTCCTACTTCCCCAGTTGTCTCAGAGGACTTAACAAAACAGGGCCAATACTCGGTCCTAAGGCTTCACTTGGTGACGAATTTCCGTTCGTAAAATCTCTGTGTCCATTTTTGCCGGCTTTATCCCCTTACTGATAAACACAGGTATTGGAGATGGAGATATGTTCACTCCAAGGGCCGTGCGAAGCTCAAACCGAACTACTTCACTGCTTCCTCTGAACCATAATTCTTTAAAATCACATTACAGCTCAGGCGTTCAACTTTCGCTGTACTGAAAGTGTTCATTGAACTCAGTAGTGGTTTTTTTTTGCTCTTAAACTGAGAATCCGAGGCGTCAATCGTTAGTAATGTAGTAATAGTGACGGGTGTTAGGTGTGGTGACGTTTTTGCCTACGAGGTTGTTCGGTGGAACTCTTCATGGCTTGACGTTTCAACTAGATCGTGTTCATCAGTGAAATAAACGTGGCTGATGGTTCGAACTTGCTCTCTTTCGTGTGCTGGAGCGGCTCTTTTCGCTTTCGCAGTGAAGGACTGGGTAAGTATTCCCTCATTCGGGATCATCGGTCCTTGAATCCCCAGCACCTTAAACACGTTAGGGGCTGGAAAACCTCACCGTCGGTGTAGGGAGAGAGCAATTTGTAAACGCATGGCGCCACGTTTGGGCTTGAGGACCGTCAATTCAACGCTAAGCGCTTTTGGAAAAAATAACACAGTTTCCGCTTAACGCAACACCTTTAAACACCTTTAAACCACTGACGCAAAAAAGTCATGGAACACAAGAACAACGAAGAGCTTTTGCAAAGAGAAAAGCTGAACCCAGAGAGACGTCGTTTATTTCTTCATTTTTTTTCGATTATTCTTATAATTATTATCGATTACGGGATTTTGCGAAGTACAAAAAGAATGTTCTCACTGTCCTACAACTCACTGCAGTATCGCTCTTCAGGCATAATGGAAGACATTGCGGTTACCAAATTCAGGGAGTACCTTCGAGTAAACACGGAACAGCCCAATCCAGATTACGGTAAGTTCAATATACATTTTTTGACAGTGTCTGCTTATACCGTACTCCTGTTTTTTGTCCTTCTGTTTGCCGAATTCGATATCAATTATGATAAGAAGAGCATTTCAGCTGCATGTCAGAACTTCCTCTTCAATCTGGCGGATGAGCTCGGCATCGAACGGCGTGCGGTTGAGGCGAGTGATCGATTACGACAACACTTTTTTTCCCGGCTAAAAAAAATTCTAAAAAGAGCAGCAGTGCGGCGGTAGTAATAGATCCAAAGGGGTTGCTGTCCCCGCTATATGCCTTTACCAGATACCTGGGTGCCTAAGAGACCCCACCCGCGCTACCGCATTGTCTGCCACAAGCTTATCCATGATCACGCGCGCTGCTTCCCTGCACCCTCACACTTCCGCTTGCTCTCTACCGCTAGGTGCGTGCTTCGCTGCGGCATCTTGGTATAGACAGAAGTGCTGGTCCTGGAGAATAGCCAACGGGGCACCGTGCATCACTGCCTTCAGCACTGTTCCCCTGTACTTAACCCATTCGCGACCAGGCGCGTTTTTCGAAAACGGCTCGTTCGGACCGGAGCATTTGCGAGCTCTCAGCAAGTGTCCGCCACCAGTGGTGGACACGGTCCCTCGTGACCCCTTACTAAAAATTTTAGCACTGTTCAACTTTCTGCTCCCGAAATCTCCTTTTTTACTGAACCATCGAGTGCAGGGGTTATTCCTCAGGTCACAAAAATGACATTCGTCTGTCCTCCGGTGCCATTTGGCGCCAATGTGCGCTTATTAGTGCTATAGTCTTTTCCACGAAAATCAGTGTAAGCAAGGGACGACAGTGCCAATAGTTTTTTCACCGGCGCTATTCGGCGCTAGGATCCACCTGCACTCGCCGTCGCCTTTTTTCGCTAAAGTCGCAGCTGTTCTGCATTCGAGCTCAATTGGAGGGGGGGGAGGGTGGGGAGGAGGGAAGCCCGATCACAAATAAGACATTGGTTTTTATCTTTGCAGAGCGCTACATGGCATGAGCCATGTAGCGCTCTGAAAAGGCTGTAGCTTGGAGGAGGAGTGATTCCCTCCTCCTAAGGCAAGCTCAGCCTCAGCATCGCATTGATAACCCTTGTGCCCTACGCTAACGTTCCTGCTAATAATGTCATATCAATAATAAGGACAGCGAATAACCCTAGTATCCAAGCTTCCCATCAATTTGGGTGGAAGAGGTGATAGCACCAGTTGGCGCCAGTTGGCGCTGGGACCTGTAGTGAACGTCATATTCGTGACCAGACCAACAAAAAGCCCTAGTATGTAACTTTTCCTGAAGTTTGGTGAAAAAGGTAGTGGTGAGTTGGCGCGGCACCATTCTGGCGCCCCGGTTTTGATGAAAAAGTGGTGGCGCCTATGGTGCCAAATGGCGTCAAACACCGCCGGCGCCAGAAACGGACGTCACATTCGTGATCGGGGCACTGAGTAACCCCTACCGGCAATTTTTCAGCAGAAATTTTTCTAGAGGTTTTGGGCTCAGGTGCTGCTAGTTGAATCGTGCCTGGGACCCTTATATCTGAAGATCTCGTTGGTCCACTATTTGCATAAATTAAAAGGTATGAAGACTTGTACCACTGGGAAAAGTTCCTCGAAGAACTCGAACT